ACACAAAGAAGAGAACCGGGAGGGGCCCTGGGCAGGAGGTTGAAGAGCCACAGCCCAAGCAAGCAAAGCAAGCTGGCTCCTGAGGCTGCCGGCGGGAGGGAGGCAATGAGGGAGGAAGGCACCGGAGCAGTGAAAGTGGTCTCTGAAGTCAGTGGGCAGCTACGCGCGGGAGGGAAAAGGGTCTATGAGAACTGTGGGGGAAGGGGTTGAAGCGAGTGACTTCCTTAAAGAGTTGACCTGGTGCAAGGAAAACCTCCTGCCAGAGAAAGGACTGTGAGGAACTCACGACTGGCCAACATCATCACCGCCATTTTTAAATCATACCATCATTCCCTGAGAGCCACCTCTAAGCCTCCGCTAGGATCAGGCACAGAAGTGTGCCTGCAGCCAGTCCCCTCTGCAAGGGTGCACGCTAGTGTGAGTGTGTGTGTGTGAGTGTGGGCTGGGGGAGGGAGCGAGGAGGACCCAAGCAGATGTAGGAGACCCCACTGAGAAAAGTCACAAATGTCTTTTGTTTAAAATGGCAGAGGCCAAGCTTGCCCAAAGAGCATGCTGGCCATTTATTTTCTAGAGACGAGGTTATTTCTGCTGCCTAAAAATGGAAGTTCTGGAGCTTTCTCTGTCTCCTTTCCTTCCATCCTACATGGCAGTTGCAAAAAATAAATCCCACCCCTTCACACCTGTAATCCACTCAACAGTTTGCAGTGGGTCCCTGGATTGAGTCCCCCGGTTGCGCAGAAAGAAGGGACAGCAGGCACCACCCCCGTCTTACCCGAAACCACTGAGCCACAGGAAGTTTAGCGCTTGGCCAAGGGCAGGTCGCTGGGAAAAGGGAGGGCTTGTGCTGCCTGCCCCCCACCCCACTGTCTTCAACGACCACCCCGTGGCACCCTCTGGCAGGCCCCCCCAATGCACCCTCCTCCCCACGTCCCAAATGCAGCAGGCTCAGGCCCTGACATCTAACTGCTCCGTCTCCTGACAGAGGCCCTCGAGGCCCTGGGGGCCCTGACCGCTGCCCTGATTTAGGCAGGAGGGCAGCCACGTGCCCAGACCCCCCACCCACAACGAAACAAAGGAGACCTCCCGAGGCTGGCCAGTGAGCAGAGGGGAAGGACCACAGCACCCCTCCACGGCAGGCCACCAGCTTTCCATTCCCTCTGAAGAGCCTAAGCAGTTCAACAGAGTTCTGTAAAAAGTAGGGAGAGAAATGCTGAATGGATGCCAGACGTTTCTCTGAACCATGATTAATATTATTAGCATTTGTTATATTCATGTTACAGCTAGCATTTATTGCATGCTTACATGTGCAGGAGGTGTGCTAAGTGCTTTACATACAAGAGGATGAAGAAGGACCTACTATTTTACAGCTGGGGACGAGGAGGGGCAGAGACCCTCGCCCGAGGGCTGCCCAGATGGAAGCAGCTGAGCTGGGACTGAAGCCCCTGCTGCCCGACTCCAGAGCCCTGGCCCCTGATGCTTCACCGTCTCAGCCCTCAGAAAACCCAGTGGTGGGCCCACAGCCAGGCCAAGGGACAGTTTCACACCCAACCTGTCCCCCAGGGATCAAAACCAAGTGTGAGTACGTGCAGGAGGTGGACTGGGTCGGGAGGGAGTGCGGGGAAGGGGGTCTCTTTCTGCAGCCCCCCCCTTCACCTGATGACCGCTCCCCGAGCCGTCCCGCTGCCCCACCCAGACTCCCGGCGGCAGCCGTTCTCTCCGGCAGCGTCCTCCCCTCGCCCTCTCCTCCCGGTTCTCTCCCACAGACACCAGTGCATTTTAAAGATGTTTCCACTTTATAAATCATCCCTCTCTGGCAGCCACCCGAGAGCGGCTCCCCAAACAGCACACACAGGGCCCAACGGTGCCTTCCCCTTGACTGAAGGGGGGGGCTGGCAGTGGAAAGCGGCACTCTGGTGGGACCAGGGACTGGAGGTCCCCCCTGCCCACCACACGTTATGGAAAAGGGAAAACAGGACCCTGTCCCCTTCCTCCATTTGCTGAGGGGTATCTCCAGGTCCCCAGTCAACGCAATCCTGAGACACTCCCACAGGTCCCCAAGAGGAGGAGGGCAAAGCCACCCCCCAGGGGGCCAAAACTGCCCTAGCCCGGACCCCCAGCATGGAGATTTTTATTTGCATTCATTTACCTAGCGCTGCCCCTCTGCTCCTTCCTCCCCAGCGCCCCCAGCAGGGTGGCCTTCTGTGGGTTTCAGAGACCCAGTCCCAAGTCCTGTCTGGGCACTAAGGCCGGAGCGGTGGAGGGACCTCCGGCAGCTACCCCACCAGGCCGGAGGCCCAGAAGAGCGCTAAGTGTACCCCTGGGGACCTCCACCGCTCCCTCCCACCTTCCCCCTCCCAGCGTATCTCCCAGAGCTGACCTGCCCGCCTTGGTGATGATCATCTCCGTGCCCGCCTCGTGGAACTTCTTCCAGAGCTCTTTCTCGTGCAGGCCCACCTTGATGTTCTCGATGGTCTAGGGAGGGAGGGAGGGGGACTTGTGTCGCCTGGCCCGCGACCCCAGCGGCCCCAGCGGCGCCCTCAGAACGGAGAACACGGGCCCAAGGAACTGTGCGAAAACACTGCCAGTCCCGGAAGCCCACACCTCAAGATTTCGTTTCGAGAAATTATCCCGTATCGTGGGTGAGTGTTTAAAGCATGTGATCGGCAGCGGAGGCCCCTCCCTCGGAGCTGCACCTGCAGACGGGCGGCAGCGGACAGGTAAACTGCCCGTGCGGGGCAGATGACCCACTTGCGCACACACACGAACTTTCCACGGGCGGACATCGCCACAGGCCGGCTGCAGGTGCGCGGACCCAGAGGGGGCCACCTCCTCGGCCAGACCCGCACAGGCCGAAGGCGCGCGCGCACAGCGCCTTCCGTTCACTGTCACCCTCGGGTTATCACCGTGACCTTCCCGGGGAAGGCCCGCGGCCTCCGAGCCCCGCAGTGGCTCCCGCACACGCTGGGCCCGTCGGGGCCGTTCTTCCCGCCCAGTCCCAGGCGCTGACCCCCGGCCTCTCGGGTCTCAGGAACCGGACTCCGTCTGGGCTCCCTCCCCTCCCCCACCTGTCCCAGGGTCGCCCAGGGGGTCCCAGTGGAAAGGCAGAGCGCGCGAGCCCCTGCCGGGGGAGCATCAACGGACGGCCTGCTCAGGGCGCAGCCAGGTGCCCCGGGAAGCGAGCCCTGCCCGCAGTGGGGCGGACTGACAGACTGACACACACCCGCAGACAGACCACCGCCTGACCTCTACCCGACGCGGCCGGCGCGCACCTACCTGCTCCGCGGTGGCAGAGGTAGCGGCGTCCGCCCCGGGACCCGGGGGACTGCCCAGCGCGGCCCCACTGAGGCCCGGCGCGGCCAGCGCGGGCTCGGGGGCGCTGGCGGCGTTGGCCTCGCCGAGCGCTGGGCCCGGGGCCCGGAAGGCCTCCTCGCTCTCGGACAGGCCCTTCTCCTGCAGCATCTCCTGCGGGCACAGCACACACCGGTCACCGGCCCAAGTCCGCACTGGTCAGAGGACCCCCCAGCCCTCTCCAGCTGAGGCGGGGAGGCCGCCCTGGCGCACGTGGACCCCGCCCCCTCCTGAGCTGGGGGAGGGGGGATATGCCAGGGCAGGACCCTCCTCCTCCCTCTGGGTTCTGGACCTGGGAGGGTCTGAGCGGGTGCAATGTCTGCCGGCCCAGGGTGTGGGGCTGTGTGATGCGTAGGTCTGGGGGGAAGGACCGCCTCTCAGCATTGCCCCAGCTGCACCCCCAGTCCCTCCCTCCTGCTGGGCTCCAGTTGAGCCCAGTGCCTGGGTCTTTTGGGGCTGCTCCCTAATAGCTGGAGACCAGGCTCCCTCTTGGGCCAGGGCAGGCAGGAGAGAGGAACCTGGCCAGGAGGGCAGGGCCCAAGCCCCTGGGGCTCCACACCTGCAGAAAAGGCCCAGGGCTGGGCGGCCCCTCGCTCACGCATCTGCCCTCGCCCACCAGCTCAGACAGCGGTCAGGGAGAGACTTCCTGGACCTTCCCGCACATTCCCACTCCCACTGGCACATTCCCACTCCCACTAGCACCGAGCATCACCCGTGCAGCACACGCATCCTCACACCCAGGCACCGCACCCTCTCACAGCCTCCCAGGCACCAAGCAGCCACAGCCTCCTGAGGCCGGTCTGTGTCGGGCCCTGAACCCAGACAGGAGCCTCCCCAGCCTTGCTTTCACATTCATCCTCAGTGGCTCACCCTTTTAGCTCCAAAGGCTCAGCTCTGGAGCAAGGGGCCCAGACTCTTCCCAGCTAAGGACCAGGGTATTTGGGCAGGTCCCCTTCACGGGCACAGCCCAGTCCTCCCCCAGGGGTTGAGGACTATTCACCCACCTGCCCATGCGCCTGCTGGTCCTGGGCATCGGGAGGAGGGCCCAGGGTGCAGGGCCCTGCCCGCCCGCCTCCTTCATGGGTGCAACCCTGCACTGTTCCTGCTTCTGTCCACCTCCTTGCCCCTCTCCCTCTTTCCAGATCTGGGCATGTTCTGGTGGGGCTTCCTGCACGTCTGGGTGCCTTTCTATATGTACATCTGTGGCAGAATGTTCCCCCTTTCTCCTCCTACCTTCTTCCTGTTCCCTTCTTCCCTGGGTTTCTCTGGGCAGTCCAAGATGTAGGCCCTGGTCCCTCCTGTCCACTGGCCTCCCCATCCCAGGGCCTAGACTTCTGCTCCCAGGGCCTCACAAAGTAAATAAGCCAAGTGCAACCGAGGAGATAAAAGGGGCCGAAGGGGCCGGGGCCAGCTGGGGCTGGGAAAAGCCCGTAAAGATAAGGCTTACAGCCCCGCTGGTCCTCCGGCCACCGGCAGCAGGGAGCAGGGCTCACCCCGCATGGCCGGCAACGGGACCCCCCCTCCGCCCACGGGCGGGCTCGGAGCCTCGACTGGGAAGCCCAGGAGCCCCCGGGCGAGCGGACTGTGGGGTGCAGGTCCTTGGGCGCCCTGGCCCCAGACGCCGCATTTGTCTGTACCTGGTGCCAGTCGGGATGGCCGCCCAATGTCGGCTGGTCCAAGGTGCGGCCAGCAAGCGCGGGGCCAGGAGGAGGGGCCGCCTGGCTGCGATGCCGCCTTGGCCACTAGGTCCTCTGCGGGACACTTGTCACACCCAGAGCTGGGCGGCGGCGCCCTGCAGCTCGCCGCCCGAGTCCACTGAGGCCAACCCACCGCCCAGGCTGGGGACCCGGGCCTCGCCGCACTCCCCTTCCCCTCCTCGGGCTTCCCCCTTCCTCTCCTCCCGCTCGGGGAGCCGAGTCCCGACAGCCCGGGAGCCCCGGCTGATTTCCTCCTCCTCCCGCCCGGCGGGCGCAGAGAGGCCGCCCCTGCGGCCGCTCCGCACAGTGAGTCCCGCTCGGGGACCCCGTGCGGGCGCGGCCGGCGGGCTCCCCGCAGCCTCGTTTCCAAGGCGAGCATTTTTCTTTTCACTCTGGGTTACTGGCGATGCTGATCTCGCTCTGGGGACATTGTTGTATTTTCATTATCCCTGTTATCAGACTAGTAGTCTGCTCAGTCCAATAACATAAAGAATATTTATCCTATCACATAAATTATTGGTACTTTTTAGTTTTAATACTACATGGTTAAAGTAAGGGTCTGATTTACGAAGTCATCATTATTAAACATGGGCCTTGCTTTCCGGTCGGGGCTCCATCATTCTAGGGCCTAGGGTTTCACTAGGTCACGTTAGTCGAGGGCATTTTAATTTTTACTCTGTACCCCTAAAACGTTTCCTCTGTTTGTCCTTAGTCACAGCTTCAAAACCTTATTTGCCATAACTTGTATTGTTATTCTCAACACTCACGTTAATGTTCTCCACATCCTTATAACATTTAACATTTCTTGCTACTGTGTCATTATTTGTTTGGTTAGGCTCGTTCCTAGTTCTCCACGTATTCTTCATCACATCGTCCAGTGCCTTCTTACTTTGTCATAATTGGTAACAGGACAGATCTTAACTCGCTCGCTGTTTTTCATCCCATCATTACTCGTTACTTTGTCATAATTTGTAATATTGCTGCGGTTCTGGATGTTCTGATGATTTTCCATCTCACTGGTACAATACTTCTTATTACCCCACCATTATTTATAATGTTGTTTGGGCTACTAATGCCTTGGCCATAAATTGTCTACTCACTCCAGCAATTTTATTTGCCGTCTTTATTTGTATTACTGTTGCCCTTTAGATTTGGGTTAATATTTATTTAATAATTCATGATACTATCAATAATAAATTGTATGGTAGTACTTTGTCAACTTTACTAATATTAGCATTTCCCTTAATAGCATGTCTTAATTCACATTTTTCCTATATTTTTATCATTCGTTACACTGTTACTATTTCTTATGGTTAAATTGCTATTGATTTTAATACAGTGGTTCTTATCACATTGTTCCTATATTTAAAGTTACTTTGTCTATGATCCTTTTAAATTTGCGGTTACAATTTTCGCTTGGTTATGAAAGTGACTGTTACTTTATTGTTGTTTTACAGTTTGAGCGCTCTATCACTTATCCCGCTTCGACCTGTTTCTCGGGTCATTGCTTGCTCACATTCGATCATTCTCGATCATCGATCATCGCCACACACGGGGGGCCTCGCTTTAATTTTGACGAGGCTGTTCCATCAAAGGCTCTGGAGTCCGGGGCTCCCCGCACGCGCATTTCTGCGTCGGGTTTTGCCGCCAGAGGCCGAGCCCTCGCTCCTGGCCCGTCTCATTCCGCCACCGCGGCTGCACCTCGTTCTCCGGGGCCGCTTCTGACCTCTCGGTTCCTGGGCTCCCAGACCCGGCGGGTCCGGCCCCTCGGAGCGGGGGGCCCGCGCCCCGGCCGCGGGGAGTCGCGCCGCGGCGGCAGCCAGAGCCCGGGCACCGCCCGCCGCCCGCGGTCGCCGCGTTCGTCCCCAAGTCCGTCCCCGCCTGTCACTCGCTCCCGTTCCCGCTCAGCCTCCCCGCCCCCCGCCCCGCTCGGGGGGCAACGCCGGGCTCCGGGCGGCCCGGGCCCCGCCAGGCCCCGCACTCACCCTAACGGCGCTGCCGCATGCGGGGCGCCCGCGGCCCGCGTCCGCTGCAGGCTCGGGTCCGAGGGGCGCGGGCAGCCGGGCGCCGGGTCGGGCCGCTGGGTCGGGATCCCGCTGCCGCCGCGCCCTCGGGGCCGGTCACATCCCGGCTCTGCAGCGGCCCCTGGTCCCGGAGGCGGCTCTTTGGGGCCGCGGCTCCCTCCTCCCCGCCCCCGCCCCGCGGGGACGCCCCCCCTCTGACGTCGACGCCGCCGATCGGCCCGCCCGCCGCCCCCCGCCGAGGGTCTCCAGGGTCCCCGGGCCCCGCGGCCCCGCCGGCCGCGCCCGGCTGGGAGCCCGCGCGGTGCGGCTCGCGGGGCGGGAAGAGCCGGCCAGAGGCCCGGCCGCGCCGCGCGGCTCCCACCCGAGGCTCGACAGCCAGGACGGCGGGACCGGGGCGCGGATCCGGCCCGCACGCACCCGCGACCCAGCGGCGCACGCGGCGCACGGGGCGCCCGGGGCGCACGCGGTTTCCTGGCCGGGCGCTCGCCGTCCGACCCGCGCGCCGTCGGCCGACCACGCCCGGCACATTCTCACACCTCCGCGCTCCGGTTCCGAGCACCGCGGCGACGCCAGCGGCGGCCCGGGATGAGGCCGCGCCTCTGCCCGCCGGCCCCTGCCCGTCCGGGGCCCCGGGAACAGCGGCCCGGAGTCGGCCCGGAGGTCACGGGGCAGCGCAGGCCCTGCGCGCCGACCGGGAGGAGGCCTGGGGCTGCGCAGGCGGCAGGGAGGTGCTTCGCCGGCCTCTGAATCTGAGCCGAGGCCCAGGCTCCGAGGTGCCGAGCTTGGCAGAGCCTCTTGGGGAAACTGCGGCGAGGACCAGGGGTCTGGCGGCAGCTCCCCGCGGTCCCGGAGAGCGGAAGAGGAAGCCCAGTGCCTGCTCCAGCCTGGGCAGCCCCGCTGGGAGCCAGCCGGCCTCTGGGCCTCAGAAAGCGAGGCCCCCTCAGCTGCCCGGACCTCCCCGCGCAGCCTCTGACTCCACTTACCTCTATTTCTGTCTGTCTGTACCTCCCCACAGGACCCTCTAGCTCCAAGGCAGACACACCCACGTGGACCGCAGCTCAGGCCCACGCCTCACTGCCTGACACATGCCCAGAATGCTGGGGCAAGGATAGGCCTGCCCACTTATCCCAAAGGCCCCAGAGGCCTGCGTCCAAAGGAGTCCCGGGTTATCCCCTTGATCCGCAGCCCTGGCCACATCCCCCCTCTCCTGGTGTCCCAGCCTTTCCAGTCGGCCTATGCTCCTTTCCAGACTCTGACCTCAAGATCAGATGGAAGGGAACAGGAGGGGGAAATTCCTTCCCTAGATAGATCTGTCCCTTTTCTAACTCGAGGAAATGGAAAGCCAGCATCAGTGCCTCCCCACCCCCTGGCACTCAAAGGAGGAAGCAAAACACCAACTCGGACAAGCCAAATGCTGCTGCCAGGCCTGTAACCCGGCTCCACAGTGGGCCCACTGCTCGCGAATCCCCTTCTCCCCGCAGCACCAGGCCCTGCCACCCCATCTTCCCTTCCTGACTTGTCTCCTGGAGCCCCAAACCTGGAAGAGGAAGTAAGGTCTAAGAGGGGTAGAGAAGCTTAATCCCCCCTGCATCCTGCCGCCTCCTGAAGCGGAGAAAGGGAAGGCCCTGGTGTTTCAGGAGACGCCTAGGGAGTCATGTTTCCTGTGTTACTGAGAACTGGATGACACGCCTCAGCGTCTGCTCCCAGGCCCCCTCCCATGTCCTCGCCGAGGGCCTGCAGGGAAAATGCCTGTAAATAAACAGCACACAGACAAACCAACCGACTCCTGCATCGGAGTGGAGAACAGGGAAGGCAATCCATCTCCAGGTGCCACAGGAAGATGAGAGTTAGGCCAGATGCAGCAAAGAATTGTGTTGACCATCATTGGAGGAAGTTCTCCATGAGACCATCCAGTGTAGCTCTTCCAAGAAACTAGAGTAGATACTTTCTACAGGTGCAAGGCTTTTAGGAGCCTTGCAGCTCACAGTCATGGACCTTGGACCCATAGTCCAACTCAGTACCAACTTGTCCACGGTGACAGCGAAAGGAGACGTGGAAGGGACAGGCAAGGTCTGGGGGATGAAAAGGAAAGCGCAACCCAGCCAGAGAGCGAGTAGGAGAGAAAGGGAAGTTATGGACACACATTCTCCATGACTAGACCGGAGTCCTTTATTTTATTGATTCTAAGACACACATTTTCCACATTTTGATGTCTCTGAAATTGGGATACATCTTAAAATCAATGGTGTGTCATAGTTTAGTGGTTTTTTTCTTCTCAGTGGTACATAAAATAACAGAGTAGTTGCCGTGGCCAGTGTGATTCAGTGGACTAAGTGCTGGCCTGCGAACCCAAGGGTCGCCAGTTTGAGTCCCAGTCAGGGCACAGGCTGGGTCCCTGGTGGGGGGTGTGCAAGAGGCAACCACACATTGATGTTTCTCTTAAAAAAATATTTAATAGAGTAGCTGACAATTGATGAAGTACAGTATTTGCTGATAAATGGCCTGTGGAGAAAAGAAAAAAAATCACTTATTTTCCAAAACTAATTTGAGGAGTCCAAGGTACAAAAACTCTTCTCAACTAGATGCTTGGTTACAGTAGTTGGCCGTAACCAAGCATCCATCACACCAACTTGGGTTGGATTAGGCGAAAGCCCTCAGGTTTGCTGTCAGACTGACCTTGGCTTTGAAACCTGGTTCTGACTCTTGGCTCACCAGTTAGCAGCTCTGTGACCTTGGGCAAGTCCCTTAACACATCCATAAAATAAGGGTGATCATAAAGACCTACTAGCTTATTGTGAGGTTTAGCTAAGTTAATAAATGCAAATGTCTGGTGTGTAGTACACAGTTAATGAAGGTTAGTTCCCATGTATTTTTGTTTGTTTGTTTGTTTGTTTGTTTTATCTCATCTCTGTCCCAAAAAGGCTTAGGTGGTTTATAACCACAATAAGCTAATAAAAATACAGGTAGAAATTTTGTCTTAAAATAGGACCAAGCAAGAAGGAGAAAGTATATGTTATCGCTAAGTGTTGAGGAAGTTACTGAAGGCAAAAATCTGGCTTATCAACAACAGGGCAAACGGCAGCTCTCTGTTTCAGAAATATGAAGTGTTTCATTGGTGAAGGGTTGGGGAGCAAACTTTGTCCTGATCCTAAATATTAAAGTAGTTTTTCATGTAAATGCTTATTCCTGCAACTATACAATATACTACCATTCTCAAAGTGGCTTCGCAGCTACTATGTCATTCGATGCTGTATTAATTGTACTTTATCTCCCTCTTATGGATTCATTTACGGGAAGAAATATTTATTAAGTGCTTACTCTGTGCCAGACACATAAACAAGAGGAAAGGCCAACTAACCATTCCTTTAGTTAGTCAGTTCATTGGCTAACTAGTTATTAATTGCAAATTCACTAAGGAATTACCTGCAAACTTACTGACTAATCGCCTAAATAATGAATCCCAAAGGGAGCAGGGCCTACCGGATAAAGCGGAGAATCCCAGTCAGTGCAGAAAGATGGCTCGCCCAAGGCCTAGGGTAGTTTTGGTTGAAGAAAACTAATGTGCTTGAGCTGGCCCCATTAGTGCGGTGAAAAGTCACTACACTTTTGTTTCAACCTAGGTTTTTGGAGCATTTGATAAATGCCAACGTCAAGCCCCAACTCCAAACCTAGTGAGTCAGAATCTCTGAGAACAGGGCCAAGTTGAGAACTCGGGCTCTACGCTGAGCACGGGAATCCCATCCCGGGCTCGCCTGGCCTCCGGCATGGCTAGGAATGGCGCTGTTGGCCAATGGGGCCTGGGAGGACGACTGGAGGGGAAGAAGGTTGGGGAATTTTTGCTTTCTTGATGGAGGGGAAGACATAGACTTCTCTTCTCCTGTGGATGAGATCCTTGGAGTTCCCACCCTCCAGAGACCTGTAGGCAAGAAGGATGAAGGTCCGTATGTTGGGGATATCAGAGCAAAAGAGCCTGGGTGTTCCTGAAATGTGAGGGAGGAGCCCTATTTCTCTGCATAGTTGTTAACCTGGGTCTGTTACTCACAGGCAAGTACACTCCTGAGACATAAGGTCCCAGCTCGCCGTGCAGTGAGTCTTGGTGTGCCCCATAATGAAACACACCTACCTGTGTGTCCGCGTGCATCCCCGTGCACGGGCACACGCCTTCCCATTCAATTCCAGGAGACAAAATCCCTCCGCGCTCCGCTCGGAGCTCAGTGTTCTGTGTGTGCTGTGCTCTAAGGCAGGGATCTTTACTAAGCACCACCCGGAAGGAAAAGATGGATGAGGCAGCAGAAAATGTACCTGTCCCCTGCGGCTTTATTGTTACCCTGTAGCCCCAAATCTCTGTTCTAGGATCCCCCAGCCCATATCCCATTGGGGTTATCAAGCACAGGACAACTGGGGCGGAGGCAGGAGTTGAGCTCATTCTGGAAATGTGGAGGATTGAGCGAGGGGGATGGGCACTAGGGGGCAGCTGCTGCTGCAGGTGCTTCCCCTCACACCACAGATGCGGATCTGTTCACCTGACCTCTCACCCTGGCCTTCCAGGCCTTCTCCCACAGAGAGGATCAGGGAACTCACACTTGGAAGGAACTGGGGGTGGGGCTGGCCTGATCCCTGACCTGGGGGAAGTAGACCGGTCTGAGCCCCCTCAGGACTGAGGGCCAGGCAGTGACTGGATCCCTCCCGCAGCTTTCATCCGAGGCCCTACGGACATCAGGCATGATCAAGGCTGGGGGTTCCATAGTCAGGGCTAGCAATCTAGACCTTCTGTTCTAGATTCTTTGACGATCAGACTTTCTTCCCCATTATACATGTTCTTACACCGCAAATTCCTCCCAGTTCCTTTGGTAAAGTTCTCTGAGATACACACTTATTTTAATATCTGACTGAGGATGGTAGAGCTGAGTTAGTTTTTTAAAAAATTGTAAGTCAAAGGAATTACTTAATTACCCAAACCCCATTTCTTTTCTCCCCTCCATTCTTCCTTAGCATGAGTGATTTAAAAAAACTGGCTTTTAATTTGGGTCCTCAAGGATTTTTTTGAATGAGGGACTAAAGCAAATTAGAATTCATGAATAAGAGAGTATCACAAAGCCCTTGGAGTTTGAACCTAAAGAAACTTGAATTCAGGTCCCCTGCTGGCTGTTTACAGGGGGACCTAAAGCATGATCGGCTTTAAGCTTCTGTTTCCTCATCTATCAATTGAACTTAATAATAACAACAACAGCCACCCCATAGGGTAGTAGAAAAGATAAAGCTCTGTCATAGATAAAAGTGATTTGAGGGCTCACAATAACAGTTAATATTTATTGAGCACCTTTGACGTGTTTGGCCAGATTCTAAGAAGTAGACACACACTGTCATTCCAACCTTACCATCCTATCAGATGGGACAGTACTACCATAATCCCCATTTCACAGATGAAGAAAGGGGGTGATTTGTTCAAGGTCCTCCAACCAGAGAGTGAAATTGGGATTTGAACCCATTGGACCTATAAGACTCTGGAGCCCGACATCTTAACTATCCATATTGTTCATTTTCTAAAAAATAAAACACCCACCCAAAGACCAAAGACTTAGTCATCTC